ATATAAAAATTGTGAAAAAATAAAATATTTTTTTTAAAAATAAATAAATACTACCTCCGTCCCAAATGGATTTACAAAATTGACTTTACTTGGTCAAACAGTTTCATTTTATTCACTTAATTAGGATGTCAATTAAAAATTATATTCTAATTTGGAATTTACAACTTTGAAGAGATTTTAATGTAGTTTCTGAATATATAAATTTTAATTATTAAAATTTGAATTAATTATCGATAGGGAGCATTGATTTTTTTTATTGGTTGACCAAAAAATGTTGATTTCGCAAAACAATTTGGGACGGTGGGAGTAAGAAATAAAAATCATTTTTAAAAACTTAAAAAAATCTTTCAAAAAAAATAAAACACCTAAAAAATATTAAAAAATATGTAGGCCACTACCTCTGCATCCTCTACCGCCCCATCACCACCACCTACCATCACCGGAAAAAATGTCATCTCGTATAAAAACTGTCACATTTCTCAAAAAATTACATAAAGATGACATATTTACTCTTTGAAGATATCCAATTTTCTTTTCAAAATTGCCATCATGATGACATTTTTTAAAGTCCCGATCGACCTGAAGGTCCAACACCAACCTTGGAATCCATGATAAAATTGCTACAGTAACGTATATAAAAGAAATGTAAAAACTGATAGATTCACGCAAATAGTCTTGCTTGTATTAACACAGTAATAGCGATTACACGAAAATGGCTGAACGGTAGTTACAGTCCAAAGACTAATACAAGAGCTAGAATGCAAAATAAGCTTGTGAGTAAAAAAAATGTTAACCCCTCACAATGAATTAAATGGTGCTATTTATACTAGAAAGGGGGTAGTTGAGGGGTATGAGCTGCTCTAAGATGATTGGTTGCTTTCACTTGCGATCCCCATTTCTCAGCATTAAATGCAGCCTGCCACTTGACCGAAACCCCGTTCGGGATTGTGTTCCACTAAGCCTATGACTCGGGAGTAAACCGATTACCCAAGTGCCAATTACACCCCGTTCGGAAGGTGCCGAACGGGCCTTTCCTTTAGTCACTCAACATCCCTTCGGGCCCAATGACCTCTTCTGGATTACCCTTCGTGTTCTGGGCCTTAGGGATGTGCCGAACTTCCGTTCGAGGCCTATGACTTCATCTGGGCTTCTCCTTGCGTCTGGGCCTATTCTGGGCCGGTATGTTGGGCCGGGCCTTAGTATCCCATCAAGGAGCATTGACTCTTTTTATTGGTTGACCAAAATATGTTGATTTCGCAAAACAATTTGGGACGGTGGGAGTAAGAAATAAAAAAAATCAAAAACTTAAAAAAAATAAAATAAAACACCTAAAGAATATTAAAAAATATGTAGGCCACTACCTCTGCATCCTCTACCGCCCATTACCACCACCTACGATCATCAGGAAAATGTCATCTTGTATAAAAAATGCCACATTTCTCAAAAAATGCCATAAAGATGACATATTTACTCTTTAAAGATATCCGATTTTCTTTTCAAAATTGCCATCACGATGACATTTTTTTCAACTTGGCAATCTTTTCCAGCGATCGAAAGTGGCAGTGCTGGAAGGTGGCTGAGATGGTAGTTGAGGTCTTTATATTTTTAATTCTTTTTGTTTAACGATTTTTTTATTTTTTTATTTTTATTTTTTATGTTTTTATAATGATTATTTAAAAAGTCCTATTAGGAAGGACAAGAGAAATGGCAGAATAGGAAGAGTTAGTTCTATTTTGAAAATTTAAACATTAATTATACTTTTATTTAGTCCTATTTAAGTAAATCTCCTTATTTTTTATAAATATATGTACACTCTTCGTTACTTGTGTGTAAAGTTGCACATAATAATTCTAGAACAGGTTCTGCATGATCACTATATAGAGAGAGATGTTCAGGTCCGGAATTCCGGACCAGAATCGCCGTCCGGCCGATGGCTTTTGGGGCTCTTATCGGTGGCTTTTTATGATGAAATTTTTATGACATGTTCTTCATGAAATCTAGTTTATCCACAAAAAAATTCAGCTAAAAACTCAATCCAGAAGGTCGTCAAATGATTTTTGAAAGTTAACTGCGTTTTATATGTATTTTTTTGCGCAGTTAACTTCAAAAAATCATTTGACGACCTTCCGGATTGAGTTTTTAGCTGAATTTTTTTTATATATAGAGTAGTGTTCCGATCGGGAATTCCTGACCGAAAGCGCCGTCCGGACGGCGGTGTTTGGCTGCCTTCCCCGGGGAATTTTTTGATTAAATTTTTATGGCATGTTCTTCACCAAGTCTAGTTTATCTACAAAAAAAACAGCTAAAAATTCAATCGGGAAGGCCGTCAAATAATTTTTGGAAGTTAACTGCGTTTTATATGTATTTTCCGGTGCAGTTAACGTCCAAAAATTATTTGACGACCTTCCCGATTGAGTTTTTAGTTGAATGTTTTTGTGGATAAACTAAATTTGATGAAAAATATGGAATAAAAATTTCATCAAATAACTTGATCGGAAACCGCCCCAAATGACGGCGTCGAACATTTGTGTGTGTGTGTGTGTGTATAAAAGTAACATTAGTGTTCACTATTCTTTATTTAGTCAAATATTAGGTGAAAGAATAGTTAGAAGAATAAATTCAATGTGGGAAAAATATCTTGTTAGTTTGAATTTAAACTTTTTTTTTGAATGATTGAATTTAAACTTTTAGAAAGATGTAAATACGCATTACGTCATGGAGACTATTGGAATAAAATATGACACATCTCATCTTCTTAATTCAATTCCGTTAAATGTTTTGGTTTCCGAGCTAGTACTAGTATATATTTTAATTATTGTTTTAATTTTTGTGTACACAAACTACTTATCCTCTTCTTTAGAAGGAAACAAGTATATAAACTGTTTTTTAAATCCAACAAACAAATCTTTAATGAAAAAAATGACATGTTTAGTGGATTGATGGGGATGGGACCAACCCAATGTTAGCGGGGAGATTTCAACAAATAGGAGCAAAACGTACGGATTTTCCAAAATTAAGATCGAAGATTCGCGTAAGACTTAACTACACCTGCATTGACCACAATATCTTTACCTTTAGGAAATATCAGACATTAAATAGACAATAAGTAGATAATAAATAAACAATAAATTCTGATAAAATAATCTATTCAAATCCAAGTGTGATCTGCTCGAGTACGCCTGCGAGACGGAGTTGAACCGCGACTTGGACGGTGAGGCAAGGCAGAGATCTGGACGGCGAGGTGAGGCGGAGATCTGGACGGCGAGGCGGAGATCTGGACGGCGAGGCGAGGCGGAGATCTAGACGGCGAGTCGAGGCGAGGTGTCGAGCGGGAGGGCATCTGCGGTTGAAGGTGGATGCCTGCATTCCATCACAGGGAGAGAAGCTGCGGTCGAAGGTGGAGGCCTGCGAAGTCGATGCAAGGGTGGAGAGTAGAAACGGGGAAAAAATTAAGGTTCCTAAAACTAGAACTAAATAGAGCATACGGATGGAAAAAAAAAACTAAGTAGGTCATAATAATGTAAACTTTGTATGATTTGGTCCTATTTTGCACAATTTTCTCACGTTAGCGATTTCGCAGGCCCTTCCCTTAGCTCACAAGTAGCTGAATTGAACAATATATTTAAAGTAAAATATAAAAAGTATCTAAAAGAGAAGTAAAGGTATTATTAATAAAAGTGACTTTCCTCAAAAAAAAGTGACAAACTTGGACATTAATAAATTAAAAGCAAAATTTTTTTACACTAAACCTTAGACCAAACTTGGACACTAAACCTTAATTAAAAGCATTTAATAAATATTCAGACAAACTTGGACATTAATTTTTGACACTAAATATTTAAAAAACTAATGCTTTACTAAAATAATAGAAATCGGGGCTCTATTTAAATAATTACGGGCCCTGTTCATGGGCTATGTTTGAACACACCAGGTGCTGGCCCTGCTCTTTTGCCTATATAAGTCAATACATTACTCCATACCTCCTATTTCATACGCCTTCGATTCATTTTTGAGTTGTCTCAAAATAAATGTTTCATGGTAAGTAATCTGAGTTCGTATAGTTACACTTTATTCTACTCAAATTTCAAGACTAATTTTTACTTTTAACCACCTTATCAATAACTTAGATAAAATTAGAAGTGCGTACACATATCTAAGATTTAATCATATTTATATTAGTCATAATATATACTTAAATAAACTAGATCAAATTAAAACATACGGAGTATGTAATACGTAGTATCATACTAGTATTAGATATGACGAGGCTGTTTGGCAGCACTGTTTTTCGGCTTATCAGGCTTATCAGCCAACTTTTTCACCAAACACATAACTTTTACTTTCGCGCGCTGAATTGTATAATAAGCAGAAAAGGTAAGTTTGGAGACTTGGAGTTACTTTTCTGGCTATATTGGCTGAAGTTACTGTAGATGATCATTTTAGCTGTTTTTACATATAATTTTTTCTTTATTTTAGTAATAAAATATTTTTGAAAATATTTTTTCTTAAATCAACAGAATCAGCCAATACAACCACTTCAGCCAGAACTTCATAAATTTCAGCAGGATCAGCCAAATCAGCCGATTTTCGTGCTACCAAACGGGCTCAACATGGATAACAATAATATTAGACACAATATTAAACTTACTAGGCCAGAAAAATTCAATTCATATTCGACTAGATTTGATTTTAACAATGGATTCTACCAATGTATTAAGTTCAAATTTTAGACTAGTCAATTTCAGTTCAAATGAACAATCTTGTTTAACTAAAATCATATTTCATTTTTAAAGGTTAGATTTTGACAGTTATAAAATACATAGAGATCAAAGATTTGTCAAACCAGATCAGTTCAGACTAACAAATTTCAGTCGAAGTAAAAACATCCTAAATAGGTATAATAAACGGGATAAAAGCAAATATTTTTTTTATTATTATGAAGTAATAATAACTACTCCTAGCAAGTAGTTTTACATTTTTTGCTGAATAATAATGGACAGTGAGGGCTTTAAACAAAGCAAGATTGGAGGCAAGTATCAGAGTAAATGGTGTGAGAAAACAGTGGCAAACATGGCCAAGCCCCTATGCCATAGTTTGTGGAACTTTACTGCTGCTTTCTCTTCTAAAGTTTGTCTATGAGCCACTAAAATGGCTTGCTGTTGGAGCTGCTGTTGTTGGTGCAGTACCAATCACTCTTAGAGCTGTGGCCTCCCTTCGCAATCTCAACATTGATATCAACATTCTCATGCTAATTGCAGGTAATACCTTGTACATGTAATGTATTATTCGAATGAAACTTTATAGTCATGGTAAATATACATCACCACATATGGATTAGTCAAATGATGTTTTCACTTGGACGAGTTTGACTCGTAAGTTAAAATATACTACGTACGTAGTATTAGACATGATCACTTGACTTAAACCGATAAAACCACACAAAAACAAACTTAAATAAACCAGACCAAAATTTACATGACTTAAAACAATATAAAAAATAAAGAACAAAAAACCTAAGAATACCAAATCAATCTAGATCTAACACAATTAATACATTAGCTCAATCCAAACCATACTCAAATAGATTGAATTTAACCACATCAAACTTAATTTTAGTCCAAGTCAAATGTCCTAAAGAGGCGTTGTCTAGGTTAGCATAGACGTAAGACATCACTTAAAAGTGCCTTTACTTACAAACAGAAAAAAATTATTCAACAACAAACTCAATCATAATAAGACCGACTACACTCTCAAGATGTATTACTAAATTAAAAGATGTGGACTCTCAAAGAAGACCTTTGCTATCATTCATTGCAATGAGAAAAACTCTTATTTTACTATTTATCATGCCAACGTGCTCCGTAGTGAGCACGATGACTAGCTCCATATATTTACACATATTTACCACCTTGCTTACATATGCACAATTGGAAGCAAGAAATCTTCCTTTTAGCACAGTAAACCAAGACTAAAAAGAAAGAAATTCAAAATAAAACTAAAAGTTAACCATCTAGTGACGCATTCAAATGGGGTGGGCGGGGAAAGTAACAATATAGGTACGTATAAAGCCTTATTGTCTCGTAATACATAAAAACACAATGAGTATTTGTTGCATATATCCGTTACTGGCCACTGGCAGAGCTAGGGGGTCATGCTAGACCCCGACCCTCCTCAATTTTTTAAAAAGTTTTAATTAGAACTATAAAAAATCATGCACTTTTTAAAATTGTACTAGTCCATTATCCTGACTATGTCTTGTGACCGGTCAATGTAGTTTTTTTCAATACTTCATCAAAACGATTTGGTGCAAGTATTATAAAATCAATCATTGTTGTACACACTTTACTATTTACTTATTTGTACACACCGTGATAGGAAGTGTTTAAAAGTATGCACGGAGTAATAATAGTGTGTACAAAAGATCGTTATAAAATTGGCATTCCTATTTCAAGAGACCCATCCAAGAGACCCACTATAAATAGACCAACTGGACAAAGCTAACTAGTAATAAACAACTAAATAAAGACAGATAAAGCATGCTGTAGTGGACCGCCTGGCCGGTATTGACCTCTTACATGGTGGAGTGGTCGTGAGGTGGGGTACTCTCTTTTGAAATTTGATGACAGCTGCTGATAAGGATTCTATGTGAAAAACTAAGAACTAATATGCTAAAGTGATGTTTAGTCGATGCCCGGAATAATAATATATTAAAAAGGGATGACATTTCATCCCTGAGCGTCCCAATACCGGTCGGACAGTTAACTGAGAAAATGTAAATTGAGCTGTAATCATATATTAACAGATAGAGAGTAAGGTTCTGATCCATCACACATTCCCAAATTTGAGTCGAGCATGAAATATTTAAGAAAACTAAAAATGTGTTGTTGAAATTTGTGCAGAAAAATGAAAAATAAGCATAAAGACAAGTGATTTACGTTAAAGTCGAAAATGTGTCAAAGCTTGTGTGAAATGTGTCGAAGCTTGTGTGACAAATAAAAAGAAGAAAAGTTGATAAATCTAAGGAGACATAAAGACTATGATTGTATGATACTGATAGAGTATATATCTAGAGAGTGTGGAATCGCCCATCCCATTGAATGAAACCCCACACAGTCACTATCATGGATTGAACCTATAAATGCGATTTAATTGCTCATTGAGTCACCGTTGAGCTACCCGTGCTGGTAGAAGCTCGGCGGCCCTAACACAAGGCTTCCCTGCTTGGAGAAAAGGTCTAATTATTGTGATTAGTTTAATCTACATGGTAATAAATAGCACAACGCTCCCTGTTTAGAAAACTAGAAAAGGTCTAATTGGTGTAATGTGCGTAGTAATAAAAAAGCAGCAAAAGGGAAAAGTTATGTCCTCATCGCCACTTTGTAGATAAAGCCTCTTACTTTCCATCCAATAATACACACTGCAAATGAATTACCCCCTATCACTTTTGTCCTGTATAATTGGTGTTTTTGGCCCTTTATAATAAGGTGTACTTCACAAGATAGTCTTGTCGACACCCTACCATTCAAAGAACATTGATCAAGTCGTTGTACAAGATCTATTCATTTCATAAAATGGATCCAATTTTAGGAGCTAGGACATCTAAATGCAGTCATCAACGTGCTATATAAATGAACCACGGTTACATGTTTCTTATATTTTTTTATGAAAGGTCAAATAAGCCATCGAATTAACTTAAAAAGTGTAATTAACCCTTTATTTAGGAGGCTTTGTACGGCCGTCGCCAATTGGGCGGTTTTCGGTGGAATTTTTTGATGAATTTTCTGACCATCTTCTTCACTAAGTCTAGTTTATCCATACCAAATTTCAGATAAAAATTTTAACCGAGAAGACAGTGAAATGATTTTCTGAAATGGACTGCGCTGTTTAACTGCGCAATTATCTTCAAATCGTTTGATTAACTGCCTTCAATCTTCATTGAAGTTTTAGCTGAAATTTGGTATGAGTAAACTAGACATTGGAGATGATGTTGATGACACCAAATTCGATTTGAAGAAAATGACAGACATAACAACTGATTTTCCAATTTTGTAATGGAGTTGTTTGGCTCATCCAGACATGCACTTAAAAGTCATTTACTATTCATACGACCATATATAGTATTTTTGTTCTTAAATAATTGTAACATTAGAAATTTTACACTATTCACATGTTCTACTATTACTATGTTTTATTTTATTAATGTACTAATGATTTATTTTTAAACAATACTTTGTATAATTAAATTCTCCTCATTCTAAATTTTCAAAAGGTGATTTTTGTGGTTTAATCAGTTTTTTTAGATAAAGTAAGAAATTGTAATGTTTTCATAAGGTGCTCTACTATAACTATGTTTTATTTTATTAATGTATTGATAATTTATTTTTAAAAAATACTTTGTATAATTACATTCCCCTCATTCGAAATTTTCAAAGGTGATTTTTGTGATTTAATCAGTTTTTTAGATAAAGTAAGAAATTGTAATGTTTTTTTTCATAACATGGTCATTGATCGATTTCATAACACTTCAAGTATAGAATAAGTTTGTAACAAAATTATCAATCAATCTCTTTTTATCTCATTAGTGTGTATTGAGTATTCCCGTGCAACGCACGGGTTCATCGTCTAGTATTTATAATGACTAAGTATAATAAGGTGACAATAAATTTATATGAATTGTATTTTTTAGACGAATTGTCTTTCTAAATAGGCAAAATAGGGGGTGCAAATATGTGGAAGCGTGTTATGTCATTCTAAGTAAAAACATCCTAAGTAATTCGGTGGTTATGAATTTATTTATAATTTATACATAAATTAAGACGAATTTCTTGTGTAAATGGGCAAATTAGGGGGTGCGAGTATGTAAATGGGCAAATTAGGGGGCAAATTTGGGTCACCTGTCCGACCCAAATGATGTTACCACTCTCAGTTTTTATCCTTAAAACTCATACACTCAGAGCGCATGAATTGAGTTAAATATACTAGGCTAAAAGGTCAAATAGGCCCTTGCACCGCCCTGTAAGCTCAATTGAGTCCCTGAACTAAAAAAGGATCTGATTCACACCCCTAACCGACAAAAAAGGTTTAAATTTTATTTTTTAAGGTTAAACAACCGATAAAAAAGGTCTCATTCGCACCCCTAAACTTTTAAATAGTGTCAAAATTGGAATAAATCAAAAATAAAAAACACAAACAATTAAAAAATTAAAAAATGACCGATTGTTTACCCGTAAAAAATGAAATTTGAACCATTTTTTGTCGGTTCGGGGTGTGAATCGAACCTTTTTTTAGTTCAGGGACTGAATTGAGCTTACACGGTACAGGGGCCTATTTGATTCTTTAGCCAATATACTACCTCCGTCCCAAAACATTTTGTCATCTCATAAAATTTGAATCATGATTTTGATTAGTATAATATTATGGAAGTTATAAATTTTATATTTTATGAAAGTACTTTATACATTTTTGTATAAACTTTTTGTATATTCGTCTGTCTCACAGACAGAGTTGTGTAAAAGCAAAAAAAAAACACTTTGATCTTTTTTTGCAAAATTACCTGACCCTTCCCTATTTTCTTTTGCAAGTCCCCACCCCTTCCCCATGATCTCACTGCACAGACCGCACCATACCAACATCATCCACCCAAATGCAATCTGAAACTACACCCATCCCAATTTCTCTCAGACACACACACCACATCGATACTTTCTCAACACAAAAATTTGTTCGTTCAAACATACCTTGAAACACACGCACCATCACCAAGGTGGTGTATATTTATACGATTCCCAGTTTAATTTCATTCGATGGAAAGCATTTTTATGCATTCCTCACTGCTTTAGCTTTAAGATGGATTGGTTAAATCTAATCAGTAAATAGTACGGAGTACATGTTTTTAATTTTGAAGTATATAATGCAATGGAAAGTACTCCATAAGAGAAAAGCAGTACATATAGCATCTTCTTTTTTAGCAAAAAATAAAAATAAAATGCCCATTTTGAAGACATAAGCCGTGATATTTTATGCTACCCATACAACGTCCTTAGAAAATTAAAATCTGGTTAGCACAAGAAAATGAAGAAATTAATTACAAAAAACTTCATTGTATACTAGTATTATAAATTTCGTATGCTCACAAATTGTCATATTTTTGGGAATTAAAATCAATATACGATAGTATGATACATCTTGTACTGCAATGTAGGTCACACCCTACATTTGACATGTTAAAATGATAATACCATAATTACCATTTGATCAAATACATTATGGAAGGGATGTGAGCATAGATTATCTTAATATTTTATGTATTTGGGCAGTTACAGAATTTTAGTGATTTGAACTTATTTGGATGTTATGAAATTATTATTATGTATGGGATTCAGCTCCAAGAACTTATGAAAGTGGTCACTAGGTCAGTAGCAATTTGTGACACGTTTTGGATAACTATATGGCAAATCAGTCATAGGTCGTTTTCTCATTTTTTTCTGCAACATGTTTGATAATATGCATGAGTGGCTGAGCATATTAAAATTTCACATTGTACAGAAACTGAGAAATAAAATTCATTTTTAAGACATCCACCACATTCTTCAAAGCACTAACAAAAATTTGTCTTTTTTAATTTTATCCAGTTGTAGGATCGCTTTTTCTAAGTGATTACTGGGAAGCTGCTACAATTGTATTCCTATTCACCATTTCAGAATGGCTCCAGTCCTGCGCACTTCACCAGGTTTGCTTACTTGTAACTCCAATTCTCCAAAGCTTGGTCATTAGAAAATTCTGTAGTAAGTGTAGTAATCATTTAAGGGAAGAAGGTCAAATAAGTTCTTCTACAGTTGTGAAACCGTCATCTAAGCCCCACATAGCCCCATATACTAAAAGGTGATCTTGAACCAACAACTTTTGACTTGGTGATCTTGTGTTATATGCCGGTCAAGTGTTTAGATGATCCTTTAGCAAACGGTTCTGAGCTTTTAAGGGTTTGTTTGGTTCTGGGCTAAGGGAGAGGGAGCTCCTCTGATTTGGGTAGAGAGAAAAATAAGGACGGGGAAGACGAAAGTTAAGTTCCCCTGCCCTCTGATATTCATACCAAACATTAGGAGAGCTGATTCTTTCCTTTAAACCAAATACACCCTATAGCTTGTATGAAGAGAAAGTGTGTGTACTTCACACCTTACATTTTGTCAAATGTTATCCATGTGAGGTTGAGTTTTTCATTTGCCTCACAACTCACTTGTGTCATTATCTAAAACTTACTTAGGAGTCATCCTCTGTAAGCATTAATCCATTTTGAAAAGAGTGTTCGTAGAACTTTGTTTAGAAGCTAATGTACGAAGTAATGCCACCTACATCTAATGCTACAAAGTACAAACCATAATTTAGCAAAAGAGTTGAATTCTTGTTCAATATAATTTGACCTCATTATTGTTCACCACATCGCACGTTAGGTATATTAACATAAAGGCCATGATGGACTTCACATTAGTAGTTTCATACATTTATTTCATCTGGTATCAAATATTGAAAATACATAGCAGTAACAAGGAATATTCATGATCTATAGGCAAAGGATGTTATGTTATCCCTGGTGAATGTTGTCCCTCAGAAGGCAATATTAGCTGAAACAGGTGAAGCGCTAAATGCTGGAGATGTCAAGTTGAACAGCATTCTCGCTGTTAAAGCTGGTGAGATAATACCCATTGATGGAATTGTTGTGGATGGGGAGTGCGAGGTGGATGAGAAAATTTTAACCGGTGAATCGTTTCCCGTGGCTAAGCAAAAGAATTCAATAGTTTTGGCAGGCAGTATAAATCTCAATGGTAATGGATGATCTCCTTATCTAGTTATTTCTATCTCTGATTTTAGTTTTGAAGTCAACAATTTACTAGCTCATACTTTGCATCCATCTACAGGGTACATTACCATTAAGACTACAGTTTTGGCTAAAGAATGTCTGGTGTCTAGAATGCCAAAGCTTGTAGAAGATGCTCAAACAAACAAATCTAAAACCCAGAGATATATCGATCAAATCGCCAAGTATTATACACCAGGTTTGTACACAATAAGCAAAAAAATTATAGTGGAGGTCCGGAGGAGTTCTAATAAAAAAGTAGGCAAAATGCATAATGATACTAGGAAACTTGACAGTGAACAAAATACGCTGTCAATGTTTTCTTCAGTATTTTGCTTCATCTTTCTGTGTTGAAACCAGTTCGTCAATATTAAAAAATACTTCCTCCATATTTAAAAGTTTGCTACATTTTCCTATTTGTTATGTATTTAAAAGCTTGCTACACTTTCCCTTTTTGGAAAGTTTTTCCTTTAAAAATATCCAACTACCCTTATTTTTTCTATTTTTATCTTCTCTTTTCTAATTTTTCACCTTCTCTCCTACTTTTTCTACACTATTCATTACCCCTACTATTTTCCCCTTAAATATTGTGCCAAGACCTAATGTAGTGATCATTTAAATATGGAGGGAGTATCAAAAACTTGCTTGAAAAAGGACTATCACATTCTTGATCTGATTTTTCTGTTTATACCCTAACTACTGATTGGTTATGTGCTTGCAGCGGTTGTTGGTGCTTTTATTGTTTTGGTGATACTTCCATCTGTACTTAGGCTCCATAATGGGAAAAAATGGTGGTACCACTTGGCATTGGTCGTCTTGGTAAGTGCATGCCCATGTGCGTTGGTGTTATCTACACCTGCTGCCATGTTTTGTGCACTTTCAACGGCAGCAACATCAGGTCTTCTGTTTAAAAGCACCGACTGCCTGGAAACTCTTGCTAAAATAAGGATCATGGCTTTTGACAAAACAGGGACTCTAACAAGGGGAGAATTTTCAGTAACGCAGTTCAAGACTTTTCTACAAGATGTGAACCATGATACTCTATTATATTGGTAAACACTACTAGTACTCCTTACCTTCAAATAATAATATTCCCTATGACTCTTACATTCAAACTAAGAAGGTTGTTTTAAAAATTCAGTTTTTGTGCAAATGTATATTTAAATTTGTTATGGGTGCTTTAGTAATTTTTGGGCCTGAATCACTTTTAAATATATGCCTCTTTTGCCTTTTCATCATAGAGGGGGTGTTTGGAACTAATTCTGATTCTGCTTCTTTTTTAAAGCAGAAGCAGAATCAGAATCAGTTTTCAGAAGCTGGTCACCCCCAACTTCTAAAAAAACTGATTCTAGGAGTAAATTAGAGCACCAGAATCACTTCTGCAGATTTACCCAAACACTCAACTTCTGCTTCTGCTCCCCGAAGGAGCAGAAACAGTTTTAAGAATCAAATCCAAACACCCCCAGAGTCAACACATTTATGATGGAAAAAATGGACCCCATAAGTGTTGGGCATGAGGCTCTCACCTCACTATATAATTGCGTATTGGAATTAGGATACTATGGGAAGTCATTTATATGAAAGAAAGTTTGTGCTATGTACAAGTATTATATGTACAAGCATTATAAGTGGTGTATTTTGTGCTAAGTAGGTTAATAATAATTTCCAGGAAACTAAGTCCACAAACTAATGCCTCGTGTGCATTTTGTTTCAGGGTATCCAGCATTGAAGCTAAGTCAAGTCATCCCATGGCTACTGCTCTGATTGATTATGCATGTCTACATTCAGTAGCGCCTAAGCCAGATAGAGTGGAGCAGTTTGAGAACTTTCCTGGTGAAGGAATATATGGAAGGATAGATGGAAGGGAAATCTTTATAGGGAACAAGAAAATTTTTTCAAGGGCGCAATGCAATACAGGTAAAAAGAAGCTTAAACCTTTCTCCAAACGAAAAATAAATAATGAACTACAAAGTGACCAATACTTGAAATGAAACGCATGCACCTTTTTCCAAGGTCATCATTGGGACTGACACACACAAGCACATATAATTTTACAAAGGTAAATAACCATCACCCTTTGGTATGGTCAAACTAACCCCTTCAATTTTGACTGTGTTAAATCCTACCCCCTTTAGGTTCATTTTGAGTTAGTTTTGTCGTCTGTATTCCTGTTCTAATTTACTGAAATTGATGTACTTACTAGACACTAATGAATTTCATGAGTTATCCTATTTGTAAGGCTGGTAGCTGCAATTCTTAGTACAATTGATTCAAATTTAGGAACATGTTGTTGCTAATGGATAAATAATGTTCGAGTGTAAAAGAGGAAAATACACGAAAAAATGAACTGAAATGTAATGATGGGTTAGTAGATAATGCAGTCAAAGTTAAGAGCAAGTAGTTGACGTTTCCAAAATGCAAGGTTGAACTAGTTATGCTTTGTCATCTTATATTATATGTTTCTAAAATTATTTACTAGCTAACATTCTATAAGATATGTTTAAATGTTTGATGACATATACTTCAAACTTTTGAGAACAGTTCCGGAGTTGGAAGGTGATGGTTATGAAGGGAAGTCCATTAGCTACATCTTCTCGGGGTCTTGTTTAGTTGGACTCTTCAGTCTGGCTGATAATTGCCGAACAGGGGCAAAGGAAGCACTTGTAGAGCTTAAATTATTAGGCGTCAAAGGAGTAATGCTCACTGGAGACTGTTATTCTGCGGCTAGCCATGTACAAGAGAAGGTAACCCCCATATTTTGGTTTGACTCATTGAAGCTCAAATATAGAATTGTGTTTTGCAAAAAAGTAGCCTGACTTCTTTATAGGTGCTTCTTTTTCTTGATTAACAAATCCTCACCTGAGGCATTTATTTAAAGAATATTCATAAACCTCAATGCTGAAACTGATCAGTCTCAAAATCAAAATTGAAAACACTATAACATCTGTGTCTAACTTGAAAGAGCCTTGAAAAATATCATTGAGGCAATTTTTTCTTCCTCTCGAAATCTAAACAGCTATAAAAATGTAATACATGTAAACAAATTTTATGTTCAACTTTTTATGTTTTGACCATGTATATTAATCAAGCTTATAAACTATTTTCAGTTAGGTGGTGCTTTGGATGATTTTCATGCGGAACTCTATCCAGAGGGCAAGGCAAAGTTCATCAAAGAATTTCAAAAGGAAGCACGGACAGGAATGATAGGTGATGGTCTAAATGATGCTCTTGCATTAGCTACCGCCGATGTTGGCATCTCAATGGGTGTTTCTGGTTCAGCACTTGCCATGGAAACGGGGAACATCATCCTCATTTCAAATGACCTTCGAAAACTACCATATGCAATAAGGCTATCAAGAAGGGTGAAAAGAAAAATTGTTGAAAATGTCATTCTTTCCATCAGTATTAAGGTGGCTATCCTTGCTCTTGCCATATCGGGGCATCCCCTGGTTTGGGCGGCTGTGTTTGCTGATGTTGGGTCGTGTTTGATTGTTGTTATGAACAGTTTTCTTCTTCTTCGAGGAAGAACAGCTAGGCAGGGAAAAAACAAGTGTTGCAAATCATCTTCCGTGTCCCACCATAGACACGGCAAATCCTCCCACAGTCACCAACAACCGTGCTGCAAGTCTCCAAAATCTGTTTCCGCTTCTGGAAATAAAAAGTTGAAATGTACCATAAACTCGCATCATCACGAGGAGCACTCGAACTCTGATAAAGAGCATGAATCGCATGACCGTTGTACACCGAATCAATGTGGTGGCTCACTTCGAATTCACAACCACCATTTATCAAACAATATGGTGGTAGAAGAAAAACATCATGAAAACGATAATCACAACTGTTGTAGAAGCACATCATTGGATTTGGAAAAAAATGAGTCTTGTAATAATCATCACTGTGAAGCTGAAGAAACACATGTGGATGATCATCGTACAGAATGCAGCAGTACACACACAACAACAGTTAATATTATGAATAACTGTCATGACCATGTGGACCGTCGGGCTGCTCTTAAGACACTGCAAACACAGCATTTGGGGGCTTGCTCTCGGAGTTGTAAGAATGAATGTGGTGATAAAGACTGTCACTTAGGGTCCAAAAGTGGAGGAAAATTATCAGAAATAGTCATAATTGATTAAATCAATGCTTGATGGCTATATACATTTTTGAAGTGTGTCTCTATTTTCTTATACTAATTGTTATTTATGTACTAATATTATTTCACAATTTTGGCAATAACATTTGTATTTTGATGTATACTATATGACTTGTACAGAACGAAGTATAGTATGTGAATGTCCATTGACCTTGTACATGTACTAGTTTTGGGCGTGTCATGACCAACTCAACATTTGCTTAGGGGTGGGATCGGTCCGGTCCGGGTCGGGTTTTTGCTAAACCCGGAAATTACCCGTAAGGCATCGGGTTATGAAAATTAGGGATCGAAAAAAGCCCACTATATTCGGTCCGAGTCGGGTTTTTTGTAGCCCGGGTTCGGTCCGGGTTCGGGTTGGGTCGGTTAAAGCCCGAATGTGAAATCACTCATTTTTCTTTTATATTTTAAAATCTATTTTCAAATAAAATTAATAAAAAGTACAAACCACAAATAAAATTAATAAAAATCACAAATATTAGTCTCCAAAATCACCAAGAATTCAAATCCAAAGAAGACAATTATCATAATATTTTGTTTAAGATGCATAAAAATAAGTAATATAGGTGTTCTAAAAATGTTATGAAATAAAATTTATGGATAAAAATGTAACTAAAGTTACTATAAATATGTTTTCATGGTCATTACGGTATATAAATTGAACATATTTGTAGACACTAAAAGTTATTAAGTCATTTTTTCGTCCATCATGATTATAATCATAAATTAGGAATTAATTTATAAATTATATTGGTATATTATATTGATTTTATATTAAGGCTAATTGTTTCGGGTTTTATCGGTCCGGACCGGGTTATAGATTTTAGGGCCCGTTAAAGAGCTCGATGTTTCGGGTTCGGTCCGGGTCTTTTTTTTCGGGCCAGTCAAAAAGAAAAAACCCGGACCGATATCATAATTCGGGTTGAGCCAGGGCCGATTTCCGGGTTTCGGTTCGGATTTTCCCACCCCTACATTTGCTTATGTTTTTTTCAATGATGTTGCTAATATATAATAAGGAGTACAACAAAAATGGTAAAAATACAATTTGTGAAGACTTTGATTTGAGTATGATGTCAAAGTCAAACCTGCCGTGAGCTATGATGCCCATAAACTCTTAGTGCATGGTGTTTCGGCGTTTAAGAACTATTCAAAAACCTTGTGGAAACTCTGAGTGTATGTTTGGGAGTTTGGAGGGAAGGAGAGGGGAAGACTTTGGAGGTATGTTGTTAAAGACACTTAAAAATATGACGAATTCAAATCATTGAGCTGATATTCATTTTTAATTTAGCTTAAATTATAATCTTGTTAATTATCCTCCAAAACTCTCCAAATTGGGGGAGCTTAAAAATTAACCATCCCCTCCATTTTTTAAACTCCCAAACATAAAAAGGAGGATTATAAACCCCATTAACCTCCCCCTCCCCTCCAAAACTCAACTCCCAAACACATCCTAAGAAAACCTTATAGTACCTGTTTTTTGTTTAAAAATTATTTTCCCGCATTTCATGTTTCCAGGTTACCTAGATCATGGGTAATAGGTAGGTGGTGGAGACATTTTTTGCTACTTACTGCTATTGAGACAATTTTAATACAGAATACATAACTATATGTATGCATATAATTACATACGACTTGGATTAAACAAGCCAGAAGAAGAGACAAGTGTGTATCCTTCTGACCTTCTTGAATCTCTGTTCTTGGCCGGAGGAGGCACAGAAAGCCTGAGATGGGCTGCCAAATAGACGCGAGGCTGAAGATGGGTCCTCAGAGAGCATAGGGCCTAAATACCCTAAACAACCCTAAAATATGCATAGGGCCTATGCAACTCTGTAAGTAGAGGACAGAACTTCATTCTCTATTTGTTAGATTGAGATTATAGTCCAAATTACATCCTCCCAACATACCGTCCGATTGGGGTTGGGGGCAAATGAAGATGCAATCATAGAGTCCGGGCTGGTCGGGGAGGAGGGAAGTGGCACATTATTATAAGTCCACGTACTATAGCCCGGACTGCCCGATTCGGTTCAAGAAAAACAGGGCCCGAGCCCGGCCCGCCAAGCCCACGGCCCACCCAACCGGGCTAAAGCCCAGAATCGGCCATCCGGTCCCAGTTCGGCCCGGGCCCGCACAGTAGCGGGCCGGTTCGGCCCGGTTTGTTCCACCCCTAGAACTAGGGGTGGGTCGGAGAAACCGAAAACTGAATCAAAAATCCCGAATCGCAACCAAAACAACCGAACCGCAAGAAAACCGAAATCGAACTCAAAAAACCGAACCAAACCGTATTTGTTTGGTTTCGTTTTTGGTTTTCACATCTCAAAACCGAACCGAGCCGAATAAATCGAACTTTTTTAAACTAGTTATTTTATTTTTTAATCATTAAGTATACTATTTTGTGTAGTTTTTAATTTTTAATTATAGAAAATTAATATTTGACATTAGATTTGTTATGATTTGCAAGATATTGACATTTAATATTTATGGTTTAATTAAGTGAAACACTTGTACATACATTTAAGTCCATTGCTATAATACTAATATGTTGATATTTTAAATTGTAATTTACATTATGTTTGTTGTTACATGACAATGATATTTTGTTGATATAATATATGTTATGTATATACATTTGTTATCACATGATTTTTATATTGAACAAGTATGTATTAATATAAACCATACTTTAAACAACATAGCAGAAAACGCAAAACTTTAGAGCACAAATATCTTTGTCTAAAAAGAAAGTAGAATAAGTTATTTACTAATAAAATCTTAACTTGCGAATGCACTGTAGAAAATTTAAATTTTCTCCTCTTTTTTTAGTTACGTATGTTTTTGTATTGTGTAACTATTAATACTAGTTCGATATAGTTTAGTTTTTGTTTTTGTTTTCCAATTACTATTTTTCTAATCAACAAAAATATTTTGGAAAACTGAAAAAACCGAAACCGAACCGAAATAAACTAAATAGAACAAACCGTGGTTCCAAATTTTTGAACATAAAACCAAACCGAACCAAACTTTTTACTTTGATTCGGCATTTGGTTTTAGATGAAACCGATCCGTTTGAATCGAACTCACCCCTAACATGAACAACAGAAATAGTGAAATACTACTGAAACTAGTCATTGTATCTCTAACATCATCATCAATAATAATAATAATAATAATAATAATAATAGTAATAGTAATAATAATAAGGGAAATCTATCAAATAAGTCTTTGTACTATATCTGAAAAGTCAATTGGGTCCTCGTACTATAAAATCACTCAATTAAGTCCTTCAACTATTAAAAAATGTTCAATTTTACGTTTTGGCCGGTTGATGACAATTACTCCCGGTAACAGCCGACATGGATGCCTTTGTGGCACTAATTTTTTCTTTCCCCTTTTTTTTCTTTGTTTTCCTTTCCTTCTCCTCTCTCCCTTCCTTCTCCCTGGTTGTATGATTAGTTCAGTTTCTCCCTGTTCAGTTTAATTTCTTCCTTTCTTTCTTTCAGTTCAGTTTCTTCTTGGCTCTCTACTCCCTATATCTAAATTCTCCGGCGAGTTCGCCGTCTATCTCACCAACCTTCGCTGACCCCCCAATTTCCACCCTTTTCTTTCCTTCCCTCTCCCCCCTTTTTCTCTTCCAGTTTTTTCTTCTTCTTTGGGATCTAAAACTTCGACCTTCCTCTCTTCTCTATTGATTCTCTTTCTCTTATTTGGTAGTTGGTACCAAAGACCTCTGTCTCTCTTCATCTAGTTAGGCTTCGGATTCATGATTTTTCGATGAAAAGCAACACGGTGGTGAGGGAATGAGCAGCGTGGAGCTTAACGACTCTGTTGCCGGCGTTTGTTGCCGGAGTCCGCAGCCGGCGTCCAGGAGTTGCACAGTTGCACGTTGATGTCGCCTTATAAGGAAGATGGGGGAGGGGAGCAAGAGTTATACTTCGTATAATACTACGTACGAATCAAAAGAGAAGAATGAAAAAATGTAAAAGAAAAAACAAAGAAGAAACCTAGAGCACGCAGGTCTGAAGATTGGAAGGAAGAAGTTTGGATGAAGAAACGGGAAGAAAAAGAAGAAGAAGACAGAAAAATAAAAAGGAAAAAGAAAAAGTAGGTGGATGCCACATATGCATTTTGAACTGGTAACCAGTAATTTACAGGCTAAAAGTGAGATTTGAGCATTCTTTGAAAGTTGGAGGATTTAATTGAATGATTTAACAGTAGTAGGACTTTATTGACTTTCTTAGTATAGCACGTGGACTTATTTAATAGTTTTCTCTAATAATAAAACACCAATCGTATAACCTATTTTGTTAACACATTAATGAACAAAATGTAATTGAAGTAAGGTAGGTGGATAATATAAAATTGAACTTAGAAGTTGTTATGTTCATCTTATTCTTATTTTATTCAGATCAGATAACATCAGATTAGAAATATTCAGATTAGGTCAGAAAGATTTAGATCAGAAACATTCAGAACAAATCAGATGAGAAAAGTTCTAACATGATTTAACATTTTTATTATTATAATAATTTTAATTATAATTATGATTATGATTATGATTATTATATTATTAATAATAATCACAATAATAATAAAAATTTCATTATTATTATGGTTATGATTATTATTATTATTATTATTATTATTATTATGACCACTACCACACCACCACCACCATAATAATAATTATTATTAGTATTATGACTATTATAATTATAATTATTATTATTATACCGAGTAATTATAATTATTTAAATAAATATTATAATTAAGTATTATAATTACAATTATAATTATAATTATAGGAATAATCATAATTAAAAATATAGTTATACCTATACTCGTAATTATATAATTATAATCATAATTAAAAATATAATTATAATTATACCTATACTTATAATTATAATCTAAGTATAATTTAAATTTTAATTACAATTATTATAATCACAATTTTTTGTAATTATGATTAAAATTAATTTAAATAAATTTAAATTATAATTATAATAATAATAATTATAATTATAATTTATAATTATAGAAATATTCAAATTAGATCCGATAAAAAAGATTCAGATCAGATTAGAAGGATCCAGATCAGATCAGAAGGATTCAGATCAGATCAGAAAGATTCAGATCAGATTAGCTCAGATCAAATCAAATCAGAAAAATTCAGATAAGATCCGAACTTAAAAAATTCAGATCAGAAACATTGAGATCAAGTGAAGAGAACAACTTATTATTGTCATTAATAAATTAGAAATTGCTCTAAATAGGAGTAAATACGCTTTGAAATTTCAAAGTAGGAGTATCATGTTTTTTATTCCTTGAATATGAGTAATCTGCCAAGTTTGGATAAAAATGTCATGTTTAATAGCCTAGTAACGCAAATTATACCGTATGACCGGTATACGGTGAGCACCGTATACCGGTATACGAACTTTTATTTTTTTTGCTTTTGTTGTTAAAAAATGCTAATAACTTTTTTATTTTTGATCTGATTTTTATAAAATTTATATCAACATTTTTTATTTTTCACGATCTTTCAAATGAGACCAATATTGTTTATGTAATTTTAAAAAATTATCGAACTATTATATTAATGAGTATTTGATTACAAGGAAAATCGAACTAAATTTAATACAGAAAAATAATTGTGAATCACGATTTATTTTAAAATTGTGTATATAAAACATTTATTGTATTATGTATTTATACATGTGAGTTACATATTTTTATACGTAAAGTTACATATTTTTACACGTAAAATTACATATTTATACACACGAGTTGCATTTGGCTTGCCTGAACGCGAGTTAAATATTTTTACACGTGAAGTTACATATTTTTACACGTAAAGTTACATATTTATACACACGAGTTACATATTTATACACACAAGTTGTATTTGACCTGTCTGAACGCGAGTTACATATTTTTACACGTAAAATTACATGGTTTTACACGTAGAGTTACATATTTATACACACGAGTTGCATTTGGCCTGACTGGACGTGACTTACATATTTCTACACGTAAAATTACATATTTTACGTATGTTATTAATATAATAGTTTGATAATATGTTAAAATTACATAGGCAATATTGATCTCATTTGAAAGATCATGAAAAATAAAAAATTTTGATATAAATTTTGTAAAAACCAAATCACAAATGAAGAAATTATTATAGTTTTTAACAATAAGAGAAATAAATAATACTCCCTCCGTTCCTATTTTATCTTCTAAATAGGTTTGACACATAATTTAAGATAGTGAGTATTGTGTGGTGGAGAGTTGTGCAGAGGAGAGAGAAATGTGTAAAAATGTTGTGAACCACAAATTCTTTACTAAAAAAGGAAAGTGGAAGTTTTAATTGGAACGGACGAAAAAAGAAAGTTGGAAGTTTTAATAGGAACAGAGGGAGTATGTTAATACATGTTTGATGTATACGGTGCTTCCAAAATGCCTAAAACCGTATGCCGTTATACGGTGCTCACCGTATACCGGTCATACGGTATAACAAGTGGCCTAGTAATGCCAAACTTGATAAAAATTTACTCATATCTGGAGAATAAAAACATAATAATCCTATTTTAAAATTTCAAAACCTTTTTATTGAGGGAATTTACTCATAAATGTATCTATAAATACTCCGTGTCTCCGTAATCTACCATTATACCCCATAGTAAAGTAAAATGTGGAGCAGTAGTACCGAGTAACTTTTTTACCAGTGCAAGTAAGATAAATTCCCGAACCAAGAACCTCCGTTCGCCTAGTCTTCTATTCTCGACTTCTGGAGTCTCCCCCTTCAGCTGCTTCAATATTCAATGGCTTCATTCACATTGCTCTGCTATGCTATACATTTGCTCCTAATTTCGGGGAAAATCGCTTCCGACGGACTTCCCAACCCCGCCGGAACAAGAGAAAACGGTGATGCCATGTCCGGTTCTGAGTTCCCTTCTGATCCATCTTTGTTGCTTCAACTCGATCAACTCAAGTCAAAAATTTCTCTATTAGGTCTTTCTATCGCTCTTTCTCCGCATCTGCAATTTTAATATAACACCAAGTAAATGCCGAATCATTTTGTTCACTACTTTTTAGTTCTTTCACAATGGCATTGTTTTTTCCGCCTGTTAACAAGAAACTTGATAAGTAGTTGCTCTTACACAAATCTTATCATGAACCAATGGATTATGATATAATTTAGTTCAACCATTAGAGTCTAACGCACCCTTTTTGGGTCTGGTCAAGCTGATGCTATTATCAGTAGTGTTATATTTACATATTTATATATTTGTTCTCATTGGATCATTCTTATGATACATCACACATTCTTTCTATTTGTAACTGAACAAATTTTGTTACTTGCATGCAAAAGAATCAAGCCTTAATGAAAAAGTGGAAAGGCTACGCGCCAGTGATGAGAAAATTGACGAGTTAGAGAAGATCCTGGTATCAAAATCTACATCATTGGAGTCATTGAAAAGAGAATTTCAATTGATCCAGGTTTTCTTTTGCTCTGAAGCCATAATAGCCTCATCTTTATCATGTAAAGTATATAACTACAGATGTTTGCGCACAAATCATGTGATTGTGACTTGTGAGGAAGTAAAATTGTAAGAAATTGTTGTAGATAGGAGTAAAAATAATGTGAATTTCCAAAATAGAGGTACTATGTTTTTCCGTGAATAAGAGTAATTACATCCATGCTTAGAAAATGCTGTCAGTTATGACATTAATATTGACATATTAATGCCTGGTAATGCCAAAATATAGCAGTAATTACATCCGTGGCAGTAATTTACTCCTATTTAGGGGAAAAACATACTACTTCTATTTTGGAATTCACAACTTTTACTCTTATTTTGGGAGCTTTCTGTATTTATTAACATCAAAACCAAGATTTCAAAGCATCTAAGTTCTATGGGAATGGTGGTGTGCATGTGGTAGTCTGTAGGGTTGAAAGGAGAAACACTTAAGATGTAATTTTCCTGCCTGACAGGAGAAACGATCCTTCGATGCAAAAGAGCAGGCTGATAAGGCTAATGCACACGCTGGTGAACTTGTGAAGCAGGTTAGTTATGTTTTATTCAATGAATGGGATTCCTTTGTTTGTAACCTCTAATGTTTTGTGTCTTACTTGCAGATTGATATTCTGAAAACGGAAATAGAAATACAAAACAAAGAAAAGGACAATCTTGTTAGCCGCACAAAAATAGCAGAAGAGAAAATTCACGAGTTGAATCTAAAACTTGAAAATGTATCTTCGGGCCCTTTTAATTTTTTCCCATAACAAATGTAATTTGTAAATTGTGAACAGTAGTGGACTATCTTGTTATAGCAGTCTGATTAATTGAAACAAATTTACTCCATTGCCTTTCTTCCCCAATTGGAAGCATATCTAGTATTTTCATCTCTGTTTCAGTTGCAAAGGATAAATGAAGAACAAAAATCAAGGATCCTTAAAACTGAGCATGCTATTCTTGTGGCAGAGGTCTATTGCTGCTTACTTTTCTATATTAGTAGTGCTTGAGGTTGATTTCATTTCATAAATGCTAATGCTCTACTGACCACAGGAAGAACTGATGAAAGCTAAAATTGAAGCTTCTTCAATGTCTAAGAAGCTTCAAGAGGTAGCCTCAGTCCTTACCTTTTTATTTTTTTATTTTTGTCCCATTCATTTTTTCTCTATCATCTTACTTCTTTGCACTTGTATTGTATTCTAAAAGGCGGCCTAGATAGGACCTAGACTGCTCCGGTTTCTGCTCAAGTGTCTTGCCCATATTCCAAATTGCCAGTTAGAGGCATATGTTTTTTGTGGAAGAGGATCAATAAGAGTTTTTCACATTCACTTGGAACTAAACTATGAAATACTCCTTCTGTCCCATAAAACTTCACCAGCTTTTCTTATTTAGCTGTCCCAAAACACTGTCATTTCCATTTAAAGTATTAAATACGTGGTTAAAATTATTTCTCCATCCTCTATAGTCTACAAATTTCAACAACACAATTTCTATTTTCTTATTTTTACGTGCAAGTCAACTTTGGCTAAGTTTTACGGGATGGAGGGAGTATCAAATATCAAGTGTAGATGAAGTATCTTACTACTTAAGTTTCACTTTGATGTGGGGTTTTCCTAATATTTGAAAACTTAATTCTTTAGGCTCCTTGTAAAAACAAGTTTTTCTTGTAAAATATTCATACACTGAGATGTTTCAGTGCTATATCGAGTGTAATAAACTATTAGTTAGATACTTAGATGTTGAGTTTTTTTCCTTAAAACTATATTTAATTTTTCTCATATCATATTTGAACTGAACTACGAAGATATTTGAAGTTACGGTTCAAGATAAAATACTTTTAAAAATTGACATTTTCTAGGAACTGCCTAGGCCCAATCTCCACCTAAGCCTCAAGGATCGTAGACCCATGGCTGCAGCCAGCCTGTTTCCTAGCTCCTTTAGAACCTTGTATTAGTTTCTTATTGTGCTCGTACATGTGTTTTAATTGTGTGTTTTTGCTCATCTATTAGCTATCCATAGGATTTGGCTGTAGTGGCATGCTTGTAGAACTTCTGTAGCTAGTAGTTGCTTTTATTTAAGGTGACAAATTATGCATGTTGCATTGCTTTTTTAGTTAATGTTCTGAACACCTTCAAAGCATGCTTTATTGTATTCCATTTATATTTGATCTCAAAACACCGGAATGCTAGGCTCAGGGTAGGGTTACTTACTGTTATAATTAATTCAATGAGGAAGTGTTGAATCCATGGAGTGCAGATACCAAGATGGTATTTGCTGGGCATGAGAGTTGCCTCATACAAGACTACACATCTTTTGAACATCCCATCATGATAATGTTGTGGATGTTGCTGCAAGTATCTATCTCAAGAAAGTATATGAAAAAGATAACACAATAAAATTATCATTGAAATAAGTTTATCCTGTTATGCCAGATTCCAAACGGATGGCTTCCACCTTGGCTTGCAGTTCATGCTGTTCATTGTCAGGTAGTTTTTATTCTTGTTAAGACAAGATTTTACAGAAATAATTTCTGCCGATTTCTTTTGACTGTTTTTAATTATACAGTCCCATATTGTATCTTTCTGGAATGAGCATGGGAGGCCTGCATTGGATCGTACCATAAAAAAGGTTATACTGGCCGCCACTTGTCATACACAGTCACACACACGTTTTTTTAGCTTCAATTTATATTATATGCTTTAGTTCTTTAGAGATGAATCATTTGATATCTACTGAGCTGTAAATATGTTACTTTGTCTTTTTGCAATCCTATTCAGGTCCTGGAAAAGAAATCTGAGGTAGAAATGTGGCTGGAGCCTCATGTTCACACATTTCAAACAGTAAGAGATATTATGTTCTTTTCCCTTCAAATACAAAATTTGTGTTTCGTTTCATCTTGTACTCCTCCAAAGTTGCTATCATTCCAATCATGTGTGAATATATATGCATACATATACATATACCATCTTTATGGCTCGTAAAAAGATTACATCATTGGATTACTTGGAGATTGAATAATACCTCTTTCACAGTACTGTTATTTCACTGCTATTTGTCCCAAAGTCTTAGAAGTTAGAAATAAATATGTATTACTAGTGTTGCAAAAATCGCTAGGCAGTCTTAGGCGGAAGATCACTGCCTAGCTCGTACGACACCTTGGGCAGTTTGTAGGTTATGCTTGTGCGCACTCAAATATAAAAACAATAATCTATAGATAGATTTAGGTGGTGGGATCTAAGCACAATAACACATGAATTCTTTCTGTAGACATGGGATACCTAACAAAGACAACACTTTTAAGGATTTAATTGCAAGTTTTTCTTATCTAGGTGTGGTATCATTGCCAAATAGGTGCACAAACCAACCCTCTGGAATTTTATGAAGTTATTTCTTACAAAATGACGCATGCAAAGAGATTTCATTTTTTCATAATTGAAGAATGCATTTTGCTAGGTGATGACACAAATGCAGAATAGCACCCTCATTATGCTTTTGAACGTTGCAATGCATGAGCATAGTTCTGGCTGCTTCAACTAGGTGTCTAGGTGACGGTTATTTTGTTTAGCTACTCCCTTTTGTGGGAGTATCACTATTGGATAGCTCATGGAGAAGATCTCGTGAGGAAAAGAAGTTAGTGTGGGGTGCTGGAAAATACTTCTTGGCATTATCACTCAGAAATATCTTTATTGCACCACAAAGCGATTCTCTAATTTCAATGTGAAAAAACCTATTCCCTAGTCTCGCGGTGAAGTTGCTGGAATATATTTATATACACTCATTCAGTCACACTGTCCTTAAATAAACCACACCTTCGTATTTAGTCCCTCCCAATTATCTCCCATTTCCTTTATGAAAGCATTATGTTGTTCATGTTATTTCTGTCCCCTGGGTGAATTTCAAATGCTCATTTTTCACGTTCTTAACTGCTTAACCCCTTCCCCGGGACAAATGGGGAGTTTATAATTGCATTCTGAACTAACTTAAAAATGAAGGTTGATACTTGATTACTATTGATTGATTTTTGGTTTTGAAAACGATTTTAGTTGCGCACTTCATTTTTTATCATTTTAAATAGGATAGCGATACTTGTTTTTAGGGTTTCTTTCTAATTCATACCTTTCACTTTTAAGAAATGGATTCCATTGACAATAAAACACTGCCAAGAATTCACAAGGAATATTGGACCACAGCTAACAATACTTGCTGCTAAGACTACTGATGTTTATCGTGAATCCAAGAACTATTTGGAGCCTCATATTGTAAGAGCACATGAAGTGTTGATTCCTTACTATGAGGTAAATCTTGCAAATATTTCCTTTCTTTTCTACTTTTTATTTTCTTTGCTACCATATGATCACTTTTTGCACTATCTGTTTACAGAAAGCTAAAAAGTTCACAAAGCCTGGTATTGATCATATTGTACTCATAGTGAAGCCTCATGTTGATACGGCCAGTGCATTCTTGAGGCCTTATTCAAAGAAAGCAATTCGTAATTATAGGAAGTTTGCGAAGTCTGCCCGTTTATACCATCAAAAGGTTTGATATGCCATCCTCTTCTCTCTTTAACGAAGTTCTATAAAATGCAGTTTTGCCTCGTTAGATCATGTATCTGTGGGTTCATTTTCTTATTGCCACCTGATGAAGCTTTTATACTCGGATTTTCCCAATCCATTTTGCAGTCTGAGTCTCCACCAGCACTCTTCTCTGGAATTTTATTAAAGAATAATAGAATATGATAATAGAGTTTATGTTAATTACATAGGAGGTCCACATAGTTGTAACAATAGAATTTTGGGGGAATTCGGCTTTGCACTCAATTTTTTAGATTAAATTAGACTTTGCAGCCCATTTTCAGAACCATTAATGTGTTCCCCCCATTTATTATAAAATTATTTGACTTTGCACCATCATTCCTTCACAATTTTTGGACTGATGGGGTGCAAACATTAATGATTTTGAAAAAGGGGTGCAAAGTCTAATATAGCCCAAAATGGGGTGGAAAGTCAAACCCCCCTAGAATTTTTGGTAGTTGTGGATCTTTTTCAGTTATTGTTGTTTCTATTAACCTGATTTATGTTTCCTCAATATGACAAGCGGTAGGGATTTAGAAGGGAAGTAGTTTTAGTGATTGAGCTCACAACTTGAGAAGGTTCTTGACTTTACACTAGGTACTTTCACTTTTGATGAAGTCGTATAATAGGACTTCAACAATTGATGACTCAATTAAATAGACCTTAAGTTTGGTGTCTTACCAAGCATTTTCTTTTTCCCTTTTCAAAAATCATACAAGTTAGAGAACATCACTGGCAGAAATAAGGGATAAAGAAAACCAGGCACTACTGTGGCTCATGAGATCACAGAATTCCCTTACCTTCACCTTTTGGAGAAAATTCTTTGCTACTTCATTTGTGAAGGAATTCGTCCCTTAAGGAAGGAATTAAAGGAATTAAAAGGCCTATGAACATAGCGATGTTTGAAATTCCGAATAGTGCAGTTAATGCGCTTTGTAAGGAGCATGTGTTGCGTAAGCCTCACTGAGCATGTGTTGCGTAAGCCTCACTTGTTTAATACTAATTTATATAACATATTCATTACAGATCAACAATTTCCATAGTCGAAACAAACAATATTGAAGGTCGCAAAACCATCAAAATAGCATATTCAAGCATCACATAATATCAAATGTTGCTAATTTAGAAAATTGGAAATACATTAAGTCATCAACAACCATTATGTAACCAAGTGGAAGTTGGCAATCGCAGGAGATAATTAACATCATTTGATTTTTTTTAACTTCAAACAAAACATAAGGGATTATAAACCCAAAGTAGTTTATAGGATTGTGCAGAGCTGGGGATGAGAAGAGAAAATCAGAAAATTCATAGAAGAGGAACAGTGAAAAGGTGATGAAGAGAACTTAGAGAAGTTAATTGTCCCGCATTGGACTCAAAGTTTTAAAGGAAAAATGTGTTATTTGATGTGGGCCCAGTTAATTAAGTAAAAGCGTAAAATAAGACTATTCCATAAGACTCACGCTCGCCTCACCGTGTACACGCCATGAGGCATATGCCTCAGTCCCAAATGGCATAAGCCTCGACATTGCTTACTTTTGACATCACCTTAGAGCGTATTTTGGTCCAAATATCTCTGAGGGTCGCATCAAGACGCAAAGGCATTGCACAATTACAAACATTAGATTGAAGTAAACAAGTTCCTGAGACACAATCTAAGTAAATAAGTAAATTATTGTATTACTCCCTTTGTCCCATTAGGAGGTTCCAATTACGGTTTACGATGCTTGACTGATGATAAAGCAACTTAATCCCTGCTCACACTCTGATTATTTTTAGTAAATAAAATTTACATATTCAGAAACTACATTAAAACCGCTACAAAGACTGATAAAAAAATGTAAATTTGATAAAAATTTGATATATAAAGCAAAAGATTAAGAATGATTTAAGTTGACCATGTGAATAGTGGACGGGAACCTTTGAATGAGATGGAGGGAGCAATATTCTATTCAGATCAAACTGAGGACAAAAAGTAATTAGAACATTGTAGTTAAATAAGGAAGGCGGTTACTTCTTGCTATGTGTTTCCCCACTTTCCTGTCCTTAGATAAGGCCTTCCCCAGAGTGCATCATCACTCTCCTCATGGACACCAAGTTTGCTTGAGAGCAAACTTGGTTGGGTCATGGACTTGGCTCGCTAGGTATAGTTGTGTCTATTAACATCCCATTGTATAGTCTTCCTTAAAGTACAGTTTTTTCCCACTAAGATCTAGATTGGAGTTTAGAATACCCTGGGTTGAACTAGCTAACTAGTTGGGTTTCTCATGAAAGCATGGCACATGTCTAGAGTATTTAATATAATTTGGTCTTTTGCCAAGCTAAATTGTGATGTTTTACATGACTCTTTGCTACTTTTGGTACTGAAGGTTCAAACTACAATTCATGACAAGCTGAAAGATAACACGTTTACGGAACCATTCGCAACCAAGGAGTTATCATGGTTTATGGTACGTTGGCACATAGTAGTAGTAGTAGTAGTAGTAGTAGTAGTAGTAGTAGTAGTAGTAGTAGTAGTAGTAGTAATAATAATAATAATAATAACAGTAGTAGTAGTAGTAATAATAATAGCAATAGTAACAATAACAATAATAATAATAAAATAATGGTAATAATATTTTTTCATCCATATTATTCCTTCTTATGTAGTCAATTCACTGTTTGGTATATTATCTTTATTGGTACTAGGCATCTGCTGTACTGAGTCTCCCTGTGATCTTTCTTCTTAATAGGTCTTCAGCCTTTTTCAGGTTAGTGCATATTTGGGTTTAAACTGCCTATTAGTTTCACTAGATTCTTATATTAATGCATACTTTGATGTTTCAGAAAAACACCAAAGAAACGCTCACGAAGTCACCACAAAAGCCACACCCATCGAAGGTCTAAAAGAGTTCATCCAGAAAAATGAAGCTTTACACGGCAGTTTGATAAAACCGTATATTGTATTGACGGTAATGTCAGCTTTCCCTAAACATTGTGTCTTCTGTAATGATTTTGTAACAGTTTGTTGATTTGATTCACTTCCTCAAGCCAAGTTAAAAAGAAAAAGAGCAGCATTTACATCCTTTTGTTTATAGCTGCGAAGAGACTGTATGAGCTGCACAGTAATATTCTTAATCATTAAAGATTTTTGTTTTTGCATACTTCGATTATAGGGTAAAACCTATGAATCAAAGTTGTTATAGGAAGTGTGTCAGTTGGGATTGTCATTTGTGGTATGAATACTGTAACCGATGTAGTAAGAGTGTGGGGCAAATAAGCATATGCTCTGATGTTGTATTTACTGTGAACCTGAGTAGTGATAATAAATTTTGACATTACTGTGAACCTGAGTAGTGATAATAAATTTTGACACCACCAATGCCGTGTAGTAGAAGTCCATTCTACTGTAAAACACATATTCATAGATACTTATGGTGGAGTGATATTGACTGAGGAGATGTGGCTGTAGTAGAATATGCTTCTGTGCTGGCAATGTGACACTTTCCTTTTTAACTGATTCCATTCAATGTCATTCTGAGCTGCTTTATTCCATTGTTTTCTTTATTTTTCATTGTGCAGGTTAAGTTCCTGATTCCTTTTTCACTAGGTTGAAGCAATGCTTCAAGTCATTGTAAACGCTCAGGAAGAGGATATTTTGCAGGAAAATAGGTGTAAGAAAAATAGACGGCAGTAGAGGCTATGAAATTCATTTGTGGTTCCATGCTGTCTCATTGTATGACTTATTTCTGTTAAATTTGGAATCACCTAGAGGAAGGTACACCCAAAAGGCTCTTTATTTTTTCAAAAAATGTCCTGCTTTTTAGATTCACACAGAGAAAGGGACACCCAAAAGGAATCATTCTCTTTTGTTCATTTTTTTGTTGCTAAAGGAACACTTTGCTTGTTTGGTTTTCGGTTTGATTGGGCGTTTGACAATCCAGGTTAAATACTGTTCGCAATGATGATTTTTCTTATATTTGATTGTTAATGTGTCCAGCTCGTGTTATTGTTTGTACACCACCTTACTCGTGCGATTGATTACTCGTGCGATTCAGTCATAGCCTCATAGGGATGGGCATGGTTGGTTAACCAGGTTTTGGTTAACCAACATTCCGGTTAACCGCGAAACTTGTTACTTCGGTTAACCGATACTTTAGTTAAGCAAAGCTTCGGTTAACTGAGTATCGGTTAACCAAAACTTCGGTTAACCACAAACTGAGGTGTTAACCGAAAACCATAAAACCATAACTGAAAATAATTTTTTAAACTTATGTGATCATAATAAAAAATTCATAAGGAGATCATGTTTTGAAGAAGATAATAGAAATACAAGAAAGGCAACCTACTGGTCGTTCTTCTGGGCTGCGGCTGAAAGCTTGAGATAGAAGAACGGGGCGGATAGAAGAAGAAATACAAGTGGGCTTTTTTTTTAAAAAAAACATGGGCCCGGAACCGGCCCGGGTTGATACCGGTTCCGGTTTGGGTCGGGCTACCTGGCTAGGTAGCGGGCCGGTTTGGGCCGGGCTCGGGCTAATTAATTTGTTTTTGCTGATTAAATATTAAGTTAACGTTAGTTGGACATAAAAAAGTTAAAATATATTTATTTGAAATATGTAGTACAATTGAAAATTGAGAAAAAAATAAAACATGAAATACAATTTTTAATAAATAAGAATCAATCGCAATCTTGCCATCTTCGGTTGTTTCTTCCATAAAGTGGCGGGTGGGTTCGATGCTCAGTTCTTGAGTTCTCGTACCCTCCAGAAGTTCCTAAGTTATACATTTTGGCGCAATGCTTGCCAGTGGCGAACCATATCTCGATTTCGAGGTCTTTAACTTTTGTAAAATTGGCTTTAAAGACAAATTCACCTTTCTCAACGGCTTGAGAAGAAGTAGCTACTTCCGCTTGCTCTTCCTCATCGTCCGGTGTGCCATGAACCTTGCCCTTGACCGTTTGCGGATCCCCGTCCTCCGCATCATCATCCTTGAGCTCTTCTTCGTCAATGGTCGGGATGTCTTGTTGATGGAAAAAGTGCCCTTGATGTTGTTGCAATAGTTGTTCTACTTGCTCATCGGACATCGCATCCCCATATCTTTGGTTGTAATCCGCATCAAAATCATCTCGGGTTTGAGATGAAGACCCGACCCGTCCCTTACCTATGCGTGAGCTTGGATGATTCCTCACAATCTCTTTTGTTCGGTTGCAGCGGAGGTTACCCATATCTACAAAAGCTCTACCACGTTCCATCTTAAAAATATAACAAATATTAAATTCGAAGTACAATTAAACTAGTTAATTTGAAATACAAATCTAACAATTCGAAATACAATCAAATTCGAACTATGCAACTACAATGTAATAAAATTAACTAGAATGTAACAATTAAATTCGAACTATGCAACTAGAATGTAATAAAATTAACTAGAATGTAACAATTAAATTCGAACAATGCAACTACAATTTTAAACTACAATTAAAAATGAGAAAATGTAACAATGCAACTAATTAACTACTAAGTAATAAAATTCGAACTATTTGTTAACAAATAATAAATAAATAAAAATTTAACAAGTTTAACTACTTTTATTATAAAATTCGGACAACTTTAATATAATTAACAATTAACTAGTTTTATAGGAGAATAAGAAATGTAACAATTAACTAGTTTTATAGGAGAATAATAAATGTAACAATTAACTAGTTTTATAGGAGAATAAGAAATGTAACAATTAACTAGTTTTATAAGAGAATAATAAATGTAACAATTAACTGGTTTTATAGGAGAATAAGAAATGTAACAATTAACTAGTTTTATAGAAGATTAAGAAATGTAACAATTAACTAGTTTTATAGGAGAATAAGAAATGTAACAACTAACTAGTTTTATAGGAGATTAAGAAATGTAACAATTAACTAGTTTAACAATTAAACAATTAATTTCAAATTATTGTCTAACAATTTTTTATGTAACTATTTCCAATAAACTAACAACTAACAATTAATTAACTACTTTTATAGCAATGAACTAATACTAAAACGATAAGTGAAACAATTAACTAGTTTTATATTAATAAAGAATGTATGAGTGTGTAAACTAAATTAATGGGAGTGTGAGAGTGTATAGCAAGTAGATATACTTAATATATATATTTATAAGTAGATAATAAGTAGATTAACTAGTAATATATAATATTATGTTTATAGTATAATACTTTAATATATATAAGTATATATTAAGTATATGTAATATGTAAATATAAGTAAATAACAATAATATAATAATTAGAAATTAATATAAGTAGATAATAAATTTTATAAATATAATATATGTAGTTATAAATTTGAGAAGATGAAGATGGAGAAGATTAGTAGAGAATAGATATTAGAGAGTAGGAATATTTGAAGAAGATGTGTAGTTAGCGATGGACCAAACCGGGCCGGGCCAGGCCCGGAACTGGTCTGGCCCGCCACTGTGCGGGCCCGGCCCGGCCCGGCCCGGTTGTTGAATGGTAGGTTCGGGCTTTGACCCGGCCCGGGGAGGGGAGCGGTTCGGGCACGGTTCAATAAATAGACGGCCCAGCCCGGCCCGGCCGATTCGGGCCCGATCCGGGCCAACGGCTACATTTTAAAAAAAATCTTTTAGCCATCCAAACAGGCCTTAGAGCCGTTGTGATTGAACCCAAACGGCTATATAGCCGTTGGGAGCCTTCCAGGGGGGTCCCGGGTTGGGTTAGTGGGGGGTGGGGGTCGGGGGTGGGGGTACAAAAAATCTATAAATACTCCATTTTTATGAGAAAAAGATAGAACATTCCCGATCTTATCAAAGATGGCTAAGCAAGTGCTAGCAATGTCGGTATCAATAGTTGCTGTGGAACAAGAGTTTAGTGCGACCGGCAACGTCCTAACGGATTATAGAACGAGATTGAGCGCAAACTCTCTTGAGACACTTGTTTGCTTCCATGATTGGTTGAAGGCCAAACGTAGAACTCAAGAAATTAGCATTGAACCCACCCGCCACTTTATGGAAGAAACAATCGAAAATGGCGAAAATTCCGATCGATTCTTATTTATTAAAAAGTGTATTTCATGTTTTAATTTTTACTCAATTTCCAATTGTACTACATATTTCAAATAAATATATTTTAAATTTTTTATGTCCAACTAATCTTAATTTAATATTTTAAAAAAATTAAATAGCCCGGGTCAGGCCCGAACCAGCCCACTACCCGGCCGGGTAGGCCCGACCCGGACCGCACCCGGTATCACCCCGGGCCGGTTCTGGGCCCATGTTTGTACAAAAAAAGCCCGCTCGGGCCCGGCCCGGAACCAGAACCGGCCCGGCCCGGGTTCATCCCTATGTGTAGTAAATTGTATAAAAAATGGAGAATTTATAGATTTTTTGTACCCCACCCCAGGACTCCCAGGGAGCCTCCCAACGGCTATAGAGCCGTTTGGGTTTGTGGGCAACGGTCATAAGGCCTTGTTTGGGCCTCTAATTTTTTTTAAAAGTAGTCGTTACGGCCCGGACTGGGCCCGAACCGGCCGGGCTGGTTCACTAAATACTAGGCCCGTGCCCGAACCGCCCTACTCGATCGGGCCGGTTCAAAGCCCGAATCGCCCAATTCTAAACCGGGTCGGGCCGGGCCCGCACAGTGGCGGGCTGGGCCGGTTCCAGGCCGGGCCGAACCGGTTGGGTCCATCCGTAGGGGCGGAGCGTGGTTTGAATTCGGTAAACCGATGGGTACTTGTTTCAAAATGGTAAACTGACCGTAAACTAAATTTTTATTCAATCGGTTAATTGAACCGTGACTTTTTAAAAAAATTGTATAGTTAACCAGAAAATTAATAGTTTTTCAGTTTTTTCCCACGGTTATGTGATTATGGTTTTTTGTGTCCACTCCTAGTATATGAGTCCTAGTCATATACTAGGACTCCTATTATAGGAGGATGTGTTTCTTTTTCCCCAGCTTATATTAAAATAATAGAATCAATTAACTAAACATCAAACTCGTCACCTACCTCTAGACTTGTTCTAAACATATAAAAACCAAGATGCTTTCACACCCTCTAATAAGATATAGAATAGACTGTCCAAATGTGAGTAAGACTAAGCACTGAAATGTTAGATATTCAAAACAAATATGGGTTATATATGCCTTGTTACTTCTTCCCACTCGAACATCTGCAAACACAAACTAACAAACTACTTGCGCCCATCTATTTTGACAACAAAAATAACAGAGTACTGAACAAAAACATTAAAGCTATAATATGTAAAAGAAATTAAAATAAAACTCTGATATTAAAACTCTTCTCTTGCCTCTTGATAGCCTTGAGGCGACCTCTTGATAGGGATGGGTTTATAAGCAGCTGTGGATCCATATATGTATTTACTAGAAATAATATCAAATGAATTATTTCTAATGGATAATTAGGTCTCTAGTTTAAGCATTACCTTCTAATAAACTTGATTACATTCAATTAGGATTGAATTAAATTCAAGTTGACATTCTATGTTAAACAAAATGGTAATGGTAAAATAAATTCACTAGAGTCCGTTTGGTAACCCCCTGTTTTCAGCATATTAGTCTGAGTTTTTTCCTGGAATAATGCAAATTAAATAAATAATTCCCAAAATACTGTCATTTAAAAATAATTCCTAAAATACTGTTGGGGTTAACCATGGTTAAGCAAAGCCACCACTTGTAGTGGCGGCTCTTCATCGTGCTATACAAAAGCCGCCACTTGAAGTGGCGGTTCTTCTATAGGTATACAAAAGCCGCCACTTCAAGTGGCGGCTCATTTATAATCAAAATTCCGCCTTCTCCTTCCCGAACGCAGAACGACGGAACAACGAAGGAGCTCTGCTGCTGCGCGATTTCAGTCCGATTTCCGGCCGGCCAACGTCCTAAAGATCAGAAGCTTAAATCAAAGGGAAAAAACTCACCGT